TATGTCTACAAGGGTTCCTGGGCTGACCCTGAATCGCCAGGCTTGGGGCAAGTGCTTTTACCTGCTGAGCCATCTTACTGGTCCATGTCTTTAAATGGCAGAAAAGTCTCCTTCCTTTCCTAAGACTCTAAACAGAGCCGGAAGACAAGGGATTCAGGAAAATATAGCTGTTGGTTGTCGGCAGAGAGGATCACCCTTCTGGAGTTTGGCTGTTGTGTCCTGCTCTCACTTCCTGGAGACCTTGATATATCAGTTGTCTTTGTTTTGTCTCCACATAGGGTCTTTTCCTTTCGCAACCTCAGTTCTTCTGCCTCAGAAACACAGGAGGCTTTTCTCTTGAACTGTCTTTCTGGGGTCAGCTGGTGGGCGATGCCATCTATAGGTCCTCTCCCACAACTGCTTACAAGCCTGGTTCTTCTCCTCTTGTTGATTTACAGTCTATTAAATGCACCAATCCTTCTCTTGCACACACACACACAATGCTCACACATACATGCATGCATATATGCACACCCCGCACACACAAGCATGCACACACATGTGTGTTGGTAGATTTTCCATCTTTGGACTTACTAGTTAAGCTTGAGGATAAGTAGAGAGCTACAGTTGATGGAGAAGTGGCTGTATTCTGGGGAAAAATGTGTAAATGGAGTGAGTCAGGGCTGTGCCCTGGAGGGGCTTGGGCCAGTGACTTGGCTGACAGTGGGGTAGTACATAGTCTGGCCAAGGTTAACTCCCATCTGGGACAAATCTATTACACAACACCAAACACATACTTGTATCTGCCATCACAGAATCACATTGAACTGAGCATTGATCATCGACCAGATAAGGGGATGGTAGTTTTGAACTAAAAAGGAAAAATCTTTGGAATTCTCTTTTTTGCTCTGGGGAGGTTCCATGACTCCTCTGATTCTATTTCGAGTTGGCATGGAAGCTCCTGGCTTAATTCCTCCCAGGAACAAACACATTTGATAGATTCTACTGAATCATCCTGCTGCCAAAGCTTAGAGAAGGAGGGGAGACAAAGGAAGTTTGCTAGTCTGCTGCCTTACGGAAGACCAGCCTTGCACAGGCAAGCATTCTGCATCCTTTATTATTTTCTTATTTTCAGAGCTGAGGCTTTTCTCGGTTTTATTATGAAAATAAAAAGGCACAGAGCACAATGCTGACCAAATATAGACACTGGGTCATCTTTGTTACTACTCAGAGAAAAAGAATGAGAGAAACACTGGCGCATGGAGAGTTATTTAAAAACCACTGGGGAATATTAAAATAGGAAGACTCCACTAACACTTCAGAACCAATCAGTACGTGTGTGGTAGATGTGTGTTCTGATGTAACTTTGCTTGTTTCAAGTGTCAGGTAAAATCAGTGGAGACGGCACAGCACTAGTTCTGACCAACTCAGAATCACTAGATTGGAAGTCCCATGAGCTTCGCAGAGTGTTCCCTCAGTTCAGGCATAGAGTGCCACCTCCATACTGTGCCGGGGCTCGCAGCCCTGGGAAGAAGAATGCAGGGAGCAGGCTAGTCTAAGTGCATGCTTAGCTTGGCTATTTGGACCCATGACCACTTAGTTCATTATGTTAGTCCTTTAAGATTCGTTGGATAGATTTAAGTATTCGTTTGTTTATTATTTATAGTTGCAGTGCTGGGGATGGAAACTCAGTCCTACCACACGGTAGGTAGGTACACTAACCCTGAGCAAGACCTCCAGTCCCTCGTATAATGTACAAGCATTATAGGTTTTTATACGAGTTTTGATCTCCCTCAATCTCCCTTTTAGCTTCACACATGTACCTTTTTGAATGGGAAGTAATACTTACTGACTTAACACAATGCAGAGGTAACGCTGCTGTTTCTTGTTATGAGGCTAGACTCCTGTCTTATTTCCACAGACTTGAAGAGGGCTCACAACATCTGCGCTCATGCTGACTCCTGAGCCCTGAGTTCCTTTGTCTGCTGAGTCCTCACCAAATATTCCATTGCATTTATTTATCTCTACATCTCATGGTGTGCTTCTGACAGTTAATTCCACGTAACAGGGGGGCGTTCACTGTCTTGGAGTTACTATTGCTGCAATGAAACACCGTTGTCCAAAGCAACTTGTGGAGGAAAGGGTTTATTTGGCTTCCACTTCTGTGTCACAATCAAATCATCACTGAAGGAAGTCAGGACAGGAACTCAAACAGGGCAGGAACCTGGAGGCAGGAGCTGATGCAGAGGCCGTGGAGGGGCTTACTTCTCTTCATGGATTGCTCAGCCTGCACCACCAGCCCACGGATGGTCCCACCTACAACAGTTTGGACCCTCTCCCATCCACTTTGTTGTCTACAGCCTGATCTTACAGAAATATTTTCTCAACTCTAGTTCGCTCCTCTCAAAGGACTCTAGCTTGTGGAAGCTGACTTAAAACTAGCCAGAACATCTGTATTTGTATTGTGTGAAAAGATAAGCCAAGGGGTCTGAGGGACAGAGGTAGGCTGAGAGAGGAGGGAAAAGAAGAGAGGTGACAGAACCTTTGAGCTGGGACCTCTCCTGCATGACGGTATTGGAGGTTATGTGGCATTATACACCTGCTAAAACCCACAGGGTGTAGAGCACGGGGGGTGAGTCTCGATGTAAAGTCTAAACTTTAGTAATGAAGCCATGTCAGCCTTGGTCCAGTCCCTGCACCTAGTGTGCTGCGCTGAGCCAAAGGGTAATGGAAGACACCGAGAGTGGAGTGCTTTAACCTGCTCTAAAACAAACAAACCAATTCCAAATGCAGAAAGATGAATCAAGATAATTTAGGCGAGCTAGTCTTCTAAGCAATGGAAAATGGATTCTAACCAGAACAGGACAAAAGGTAAAGGAGCTGATTTGTTCCCACAAGCCATGGGAAGCATTAAGAAAACCCCAAATGGCAACCTCAATACTCTTTGCCATATTTGTGTCTTGGATAGATTGATTCTTTTCATCACGCCCAAACCACGGGTGCCAGCTCCAGGTTCACGAGCTTTCTGCCCCAGCACAGAGGGACACGGATCTCTCTTACCTAGTGCTTTCTTAGACCCCCAAACCCCCACAAATACGCCGGCCAGCCTGGCTTTACCCAGTCTCAGCGTGGATGGAGTGTGACCTCCCACGAGTGTGGGTGTATGCAAAGCAGGGAACAAACAGACAGGATGAGAACCTGCTACAGTTACACCGGCCCCAGGTGGAGTGTCGCAGGTGACACAGACGACACAGTGGGAGACAGAGGTGGGCAGAAAGGTGGCACAGTCCTAGGCACAATCTACCAAGGGGGCTTCTGGACTCACTGAGATGTTGGTGTAAGGTGTAAGAGAAAACAATGAGAAGTGGCTTCAAATGTTTGTCTTAAATCGCCCAAAGATGGGACTGTATTTAACTGAACAGAAGAATATTTTGCTAGCACAGTTTGGGAGATGTCAGGTTCATTCTGTACATATTATGGTCTATTAGCCATCTAATTGGCGATGTCAAACAAACAGTCCATGGGTGTGTGTTTTCCTTTGTGTAGTCAAACAGCATATTGTTTATTGGCTTTTAATTCCTCTGGATCGCAAGCTCCATCAGATCTGGGACTTTGTCTGTTTTGTTCACTGCTGTATAGCCAATATCAAGCAGTATGATTTGACTAGAAAGATAAGGGACGGATGGGAGAGTTAACTGTGTGGCACAACAGGGCAGGGTGATGGAGACTACACAGAGGATCTGTTCAAAAGTGAGATTGCTTGCCTGACTGCTACTAAGGTGAAATCTCAAGACTCTATAACAGGCACTCCTAGGAAGATCTATTTAAGTGAGAAGACACACCAGCGCTGATGGCAGTTCTCTGAGTTCCAGGTCTACAGAATGAGTGCTAAGACTATCAGGGCTGCACAGAGAAACCCTGTCTCAGGGGGAAAGAGATAAAAAAAGAAGAGAGAGAAGGACACTTGCAATGTTTTTGTAAACCTTTATTTTCTGTTTAAGGACACTACCAACCCAGGCCCTTAGCTTCTCCCTCATTTCGACAAAGTAATTTGCTGGAAATATGGTAAAGGTAGAAATTAGAACTGTTTGTATGAGTGAGCCATAGTTATCAGTCCAAGAGCAAAATGCACACCAAAGCCTGTGTATTCAGATCTAAGAGGTTCTGGATTTAAAACATGTATTTTATATGTAAAAAAAGCATCTTTAAGAAGACAACGGTCTCATAAACAAAACTGTGTGCATCTATATCTAATTATAGGCATGTGTGTGACACTCCAGTGGTGCAATGGGGCTTGACTACTACCACGCAGAGGGACAGTATGTCTCAGTCCTGCAGTCCAAACAACCTGATGTGGTGACTGTAATAAAAATATGGTGACACAAGTCAACATCGCTAGTTTTTCACCAACAGTCTATCTATAAGCCAAGCATATGGCAGAAACTCCAGGCTGCTTTTCAGTTGTACCACAGTTGAGGATTAGAACAAAAGTAATTCTGGGCTGGGGATGTTGCTTTATGGTAGAACACTTGCCTAGCATATGGTCATGGGCTTAATCCCCAGTACAAAAAGTAACCACACACACACACACACACACACACACACACACACACACACACACAAATAAAAAGACACTCAAGGAAATAAAGAGTGAAGTATGATACTTCCAACTACAAAACACCTTGCTCCAGCATGGACAACTCTATGGCTCCGAATGCTGCTTTTTCAAGTCATCCAACCTGACAAAATCCCCAACTGCTAGCTTATGGCTCATTCCCTTGGATGATGCTGTCCACAATCTGTAATGGTAACCGAGTCACAGGTATGGAACACTTGAGGTTCTTATGGGTTATATAATGAACAACTAGCTAGAATCCATTCCCGGTCATGTGCTTTGGTAAAAACACAAGGCATCCTAAGATTATATTAAATCCATACGTACTTACACACACACACACACACACACACACACACACACACACACTCACACATTCCATAGAGACTATCACAGAAAATTTGGCTACAAGAAATTTACAATTATTTATATATTTATATACATACAGAATAAAAGATATTTGTCATTCTCACAGTCTGTAAACATCTGGGAAAATGCCCAGTAGAATTACTGAGGGCCCTTTGAAATGGTGACCATTGGGAATCTGGGGACAGGATAGAGACTGAAGTTTATATCAGAGAGGAGTGAAGAGTTAAAGGCTCACGCAGGTATAATACATTTCACTCAACACAATCAGCTTTTTTTGGCCACTATGACATTGTTCCCTGCCTGGAAAAAGGAATGAGCAGGAAAGCCTGTAGCCAGTCATCGCTGTGGAAGAAACCGAGTGCACGAAAGGGACTACACATCATGTACGTGCTACTACTGCAGAACTTAGAGAAGATTTTCAGGTCCTCAAGAACCACTGAGCATTTTCCTCCTAGGGATGCTTCCGGCATGGCACTGGGCGTCTCAGGCACACTCCAGCGACTCACCTTAGCTTCAGGACATGCCTTCACATTGCCAAAGATGGGTTATGAGAACTAGAACTGGAGGATGTCAGTATTATTATTAATAGCTATTATCTTAAGGTGGAATCCCTCCCACTGTGACGACACTCACAGTCATCCTGCCTCAGCCTCCCCATGTGTTAAGAGCCTTAAGCATGTCGCATATGCCATCTTGTCCAGCTCCCAAGTGTTATTATTTTTAATTTGACATAAAAATATGCTCACGCCAGATGTAATGGCACACGCCATTAATTCCAGCACTTGGGAGGCAGCAACAGGTGGATATCTGTGAGTTCAGGGGCTAGCTTGATGTACATAGTGAAGTCCTGTCTCAAAATTTAAATAAAACCAAATCCAAATATGATCTAATAAAAACATCATTAAAAAAAGGAAGAAAAAAAGAAAATAGAGGGCCTTAAAAATTCTTTGTTGAGCAGCTACTACACTGCTCCGGCAGTGCCAGGCTCTGGCTGCATTTGTGGCAGCTTTAGAAGTCACGTTTGCAAATAAACAGTGACACAGAAACATGCCCCATTGCTCATCGATGCCATCCTCTCATCTGCACCTTCTTCTGAGTATATGCAAATAAGAGGGACAATCAGATATAAAACACTAACACCAAATGACATCTCCAAAGGACTTTAGCCTCACAGTGCTTCTGGCTAACGAAAAGAATCTTGTCATTATCTCTAAACTTTTTTAAAATCTGTATTTCTGACACAGAATATTATATAGCCCAGGCTTTTATGAACCACGAGGATGAGACTAACCTCAAACTCCTGATTGCCTTTGCCTCGCTTCTTCAGTTCCATGATTACAGGCATGTGCCACTAAACCCAGTAGAATCGCTAGAGCAGTGGTTCTCAACCTGTGGGGTCAGACCCCTTTGGGGTCGAATGGCTCTTTCAGAGGGCTCACCCAAGATCATTAGAAATATCAGATATTTACGTTATGATTCATAACAGTAGAAAAATTACAGTTATGAAATACAAAGAAAAATGATTCATGGTTGGAGGTCACCACAATCTGAGGAGCTGTCTTATAGGGTTGCAGTGTTAGGAAGGTTGAGAACCACTGCTCTAGGGTCCTCTGCTGAACATTCTTACTCACTGCCCCATAGAACTGCCTGAATGCTGGTTGAACTTTCAAACTCTGTGTTCCTGCAAAGACTGCAGATATTGTATGGGTTCCTTGAACGATCTCCCTCAGCTCTCATAATTTTCAAGTGTTGGATATGACATGCAAAATATGCAAATTTTTAGGTAGACCCATTGACTGTGGCTGGAAGCCGTTCCACCACATGCTGTTGGGAGGGCAGGAGTGCTTTTCTTTTCTTGGGTTGAATTAGAGAAGGACCAAGGGAGAGAATTTGGGAGCTTTAGGGAGGTCCGCTGCTGTGTGTCCGTTTTCCCCGCCAGGACTTGAAGACACAGTGACTGGCGAATCTGCAGAGGACTAGCTCATCTAGTTCAGGCTGTCCTTGTGGCTGCTCCTTTCTGTGTTGTGGTTGTTCTGGTCGTGATTCTTCCACTGGATGCTTGTTCCGTTCATGGGGACCGAGGTCATGAGGCTTTTGGACTGGTGACAACAGCAGCAGAGGCACGACTGGGGGTGGGAAAGAGAGAGGGTGTGTGAGGGACTGAGTCAGCCCGCCCATTCCTAGCCACACGTGAAGGCTTGGGGATCACCAGCGAGGGCTCGATGCCCATGGACAACTGAGGACAGCTGGAGCTTGTCAAGGTAGAGATTAGGAGCAGAAGTTGCTAGCTTTTTGTTTTAATTGTGTTCTTCACAGCTAGGAAGAGGGACAGCAGTGCTGGTTGGAGAGGAGGCTCTTTCAGGGCATGAGGAGATCGGCTGGGAAAGGGCCCGGTACCCGCTTTCATCAGAGTGTATTCCTTATGAGGTGCTGGCATCTATCAGTACCTCCGCTAGCCTTCCTTACAGCCCCGCTGTAGGGCTGTTGACACCTCTTTATAAAGGATGAGAGTGGGGTCCAAGGAAAAGAGCAGAATGGAAATTGCAAGGCAGGGCTCTCCAGACTGGACTCTCTCCTTTGGGAGTGTGTTTTAGTTTCTGAGGATTTTTAACAGGAAATTGTTTTTGTCCTATAATTAATATATAAATACACAAGTTGGGACCTGTATGTGAGCCAAACTATGTTAGTCCCAGCACTTTGTGGTTTGTAGCCTTTGGGAGACCTCAAAGTCATGGCAGTGAAGCTCCGTCACCAACTCTCACCTGCTTGTACCAACCTCTGAGTGATATGTCTGTCTTTGTTTAGATCATGGGTTCTGTGAGAGCAGTTACTGTTTTCCTTCTCTATGTTAAGCAATAGCCAGCTACTCATACTGGGTACTTATTGTGTGTGTATATGTATCTGTTTGTCTGTCTGTCCATCCATCCATTCATCTGTCTACGATCTGTCTGTCTGTCTGTCTATCTCTCTACTATCTCTCTATCATCTTGTGGTAGTTTGCATGTAATTGGCTCCCATAATTCTATAATGTCATAGGGAGTGGCACTATTAGGTGTGGCTTTGTTGGAGTGGGTACGGCCTTGTGTGTCACTGTGAGGGTGGGCTTTGAGGTACTGAGGATACCACCCAATGAATCAGGATACCACCCAATGAATGGAATGCCCTGGAACTGTAGTTCCAGATGGCTCGAAGCTACCATGTGAGTACTAGGAGTGGAGCCTGAGGCCTCTACAAGAGCAGTAAATGCCCTTTCCTGCCGGATCACCTCTCCAACTGGGAAAGGAATGCTATCAAATGCACCATTAATTGCGGTTAGCGAGAGCTTCTTCAGCCACAGAGCTCATGTTTGCCTAAGACTAGTTCACGTCTAAGACAATGAAAGGTGTGGATCAGCTTTCTGTATTTCCAGCGTATGGTGCTTACGTTTGAGCATTCCTCTTGAAGGGAGGCACTAAACTGGCATGCGGTAAAGACAGTCCTTTTACCTTTAACCTGTGAATATGTCATCTGAATATATACCGCTCTTCCGCTCTGTTCAAGTCTGACTTTCTTTCTAGGCAGCAAGAAGCAATTTTCATTTCTTAAATGAAGAGAAACATGCCTGGTCAAAGCAGGAAGAAATGGAGTGGCCTATGCCCATTGGGTGTGGGACACACTGAGCCGGTAGCCCTTAGAGAGCTTGCAAAACAGTCTTACCTGGAAACAATTTTTGAATTTCTTGCTCACAAAATACAGAGCTATTGGGTTTATGCAAGAATTCATGGTTGCCAAGTTGATACCGATGTAATCCATGAGCAACAAGAAGCTAGATCAAAAGAAAACAGTGTCATCAGAACATGCCACTTGGAAACCTGTAAGCAGCATTTGTCCCTCAGATGAGCATTTCTCATGCCCCAAAGCCATGTCTCACAGTGGCAGGTGGGACATTTGTAAGAAGGGCAGCAGGCCCAATGCTGGGGTTAGAGGCAATCCCTGTGCCCGGCTTTAGGAAGGGAACAGACAGGACTCACATTTTGGGATCAGTTAGGGGCTGTGTCAGCTAAAAACATATAACTAAGGTTAGAATGTTACGTTTCAGAGCTGGTAAGAAGGCAAACATTCTATAAACGTGGAAAGCTGGGAGACTGGTTGTTCAGCGGGCGCCCGGAATGGCACCTGAGCAGTTCACATCGGGTCTTTTCCGTCTCGTCGTACACGGTCTTCTTCAAAATGCGGCTTAAGTGAAGAGGGAGCCAGCAGAGCGCAAAGATGACAACCAAACAGAACACGGTCTTCGCCACTTCTCGGCGCTAGGGGAGAGTGTAAAGCAGAAAAGGAGAGAGGTGAGTGCCGCCACGGGGCGGAATAGTGACACACCAGAGGGAGGAGAGAGTGGCCCTCACACGACGGCTGCATTTTAATACCCAGAGTGCAACTGTCTCATGGAAGCATCATTAGCAACGCCTTTGCTCAGTTGCCGGGGCTCATGTTGTCCTGAGGACAACGGTAGAGGTCGATGCCAGAACATCAGGAAGTGGCCAGAGTCTACACCGTGGTTTAATCTAAGCATGAGGACATGTGTGTTTGTGAGTTTAAGCATGCAGCATGTGTGTTTGTGAGTTTAAGCATGGGAGCATGTGTGTTTGTTGAGGGCATGTGTGCTTTCGAGGAGTGCGGAGGGCTAGAGGCCACTCCTTAAAGTTAGTTGACAGCTGAGTGTCAGGCAGTTGGCATGACAGCCAAGGTGACTGGACACAGCCCCCAAGCGAACAAGTGTATAGAGAAAGCAGCCCATTTCCACTTGTTTCTGATTTTGAAACTACTGTTACAACTGTTTTGCTTTTATTTACTGTTTACTTATTTTGTTTGAGACAGGGTCTTGCTTTGTTGTCCATGCTGGTTGTGAATTCCTGGGCCCAAGAGATCTCTTTGCCTCATTATAGGCACGTGCCACTATGCCTGGGTTGAAATTTGCTTTTAATTTTAAAATTCCTTTTTAGTGCCATATAGTTTCCCGAGACCTGCTTTTTGCAAACAGAAGGGCAAGGGTGGGGGCTATGAGCAGCGATGGTGGGAAGCGTTGGGTGCTGATGAGGCACTGACTCCAACTGAAGCTTCACCGCTCTCTGGGTCTGCTCCTGGTCTTAGCAGCTATAGGTTGGGAATTGCCTCCCCCCTCCCCCCCCAAACACACAGTCAGAAGCAGAACTAGGGACATAAAATGCAAACTGTCTGTAACTGGGGTCAATCAACACCAAACAAAGCTGACTGGAAACAGACTGCGGGAAAATAATGCTGCCTCAATTGGAGGCTTCTAACATTAAGTTCAGGAAGCCTAAAATAAACATATGCAGTTGAGCCCTTCGCAGAGACTCTCATACCAAACTGCTGCTGTGGCCCAGAGGACTGAAGCCTTTAATCCCCCACAGTCATGACACCAGCTGGGGTGTGGTTCCGGAGCATTGTGTGGAGGGACAGACAGCATTCCGCTTTGCAGGCTGGGGGCTCTGGAAAGCTGGGTTAGTTAGTTTTATTTTTTTTTGTTTTTGCTTGTTTATTTTTGAGACAATGTTTATTTACTATCCTTGACTGGCCTGGGGCTCACTCTGTACAACAGGCTGGGTTCAAACTCGTAAAGATCCACCTGCCTCAGCCACCCTACTGCTGGGATTGAAGACTGCACCACCACAACTGGCCTTAAAGGGTTATTTTTGAGCTTGAAGTATCTGCAACATTGATGCCTGAACAAAGTCGGGCTACAGTTTCTCAACATAAACACTCCTGTCAGTCAAAGGTAATAGCTACCATTTGTGGAACACAGTAGACTTCACAGAGCACGCATGTGCACATTCCCTCCTGAGAGTCTCATAAAAGCACATTCATGTATTATTATGGCCGGTTTGCAGGCAAGGGCTGAAGCTCAGTGACTGAAAGGGTGCTGATGTGTGCTTGTGTGTGATAATTATATGGCTAGCTTTAGGGGCTCCAGCAACAGCTTCACTGCCTTTGTTGTCATGGAATATTCATATGTACTCTCCCCCGCCACTGAATGTACTCTCCCACTGTGACTGAGTGTTCGTATGTACTCTTCCCTGTCACTGAGTGTTCGTATGTACTCTCCCACTATGTGATTGAGTGTTTGTAAGTACTCTCCCCGTGTTATTATATATTGGTATGTACTCTCCCCGTGTTATTATATATTCGTACGTACTCTCCCCGTGTTATTATGTTATATGTACTCTCCCATGTTATTATATGTTCGCATGTACTCTCCCATGTTATTATATGTTCGCATTACTCTCCCATGTTAGTATATGTTCGCATTACTCTCCCATGTTAGTATATGTTCGCATGTACTCTCCCATGTTATTATATTTTCGCATGTACTCTCCCATGTTATTATATGTTCGTATGTACTCTCCCATGTTATTATATGTTCGCATGTACTCTCCCATGTTATTATGTGTTCACATGTACTCTCCCATGTTATATGTTCATATGTACTCTCCCACTGCTGCCAAGCACTCACTTGCACCTCCACTTTATGAATCAACATAAGTGAATTATTTGCTGAGTGTGTACTAGGAACTGGACACTGTTAGGCACTTCATACACCTTAGGCAATCTGTAAACATATTACTACATGCTTATGAGAACCTAAAAGCTTAGAGACATGAAGTAATTTGCCCAATGTCATGTGATTAGGAAGTCCATATGACTGTTCTAGCTGCTGCCGACAGGACACATTAGCTCCCATTGGCATGTCCAAATTCCTTCTGAGACTTTGGGTCTCCACGATTTTATCTCCTTTTCTGTGTTCAGTCAGTTTTCCTATCATGAGTCTTGTTTGAGGTGCTCATCTGACCAAACTGATTCCTGTTTTCCCGTTTCCCATTGCCTCATCCTCCAACTGAGACAGCTTTTGTCCTCTGCTTTCTCCCGCATTCACAGGCAGTGTCTCCAGTTCCATTTCATCCAGGCCCCGGCTTCGTCTTCTATGGCTGCTTGGACTGCCCTGCATCGTTCTGTTTTCTAATTGTCTGCATTTGTGTTTTATTCACAACTAGACTACAAAACGCACAGGGGAGGATGAGCATCTTTCCGTCCTGGCACAGCCACAAGCCCATTTCAATGCACCCATACACGCATGCTCAATACACTTTTCGAGCTAACTATCTTTAAGCCCAGCCTCCCAGGGCCATCTGGTGTACAGGCAGGATTCCCACTTCCCAACAGGAATTCCTAAGGCTATGTAAAGAAAACAGCTATGGGAGAACATTTTTATTTTTAGAAAATCAGCATAAATCTGTTATATAACACATGGTCATGTGCTGCTTAAAGACAGAGACATGTTCTGAAAAATGTGTAGCGGGGCAGTTTCAACACTGTGCAAACACCATAGCGTGTACTAACACACTCCTGGATGGTATTATCTACCTCACAGGAGGCTGTGTGGTCCAGCTTGTCACTCCTAGACCACACATCTGTACAACACATTACTGTGCTGGCTAGCTTAGGGAATTGTAACACACTGATGTTTGCTTATTTCAATGTATCTTAGCATGGAGAAGACACTGTAAGAAATGATGACGGTTTTCAATCCGTTTTAATCTTACTGAAGCCAGGGTCATTTGTGCAGTTGCAGCCGACTGTGATGCTTCTGTAAGCAAGTGCTTGCATTCACGGGCTTGTTCATCCCAAATGGCCTCGGCCGAGTTCCCGGCAACTGTGAGACTTACCTGCTTGAGGTGTTCACTGAGGGCAATCCGCAAGCTGCCATTCCTCCTGTTGAGCATCTCACAGGTCATGAGGGTGTAGAAGATGGCCGTGCACACCAGCGGCATGCAGAAGTAGAAGCCGAAGAGCCACCAGTCCTTCACGTCTTGGTAAAACTGTCCAGTGAGGAAAAGGGAAGAGGGGCATGGGACGTAAGAAGACTGTGCAGCATCCTGCCCACGCCACCCTTTGTGCTTACAGATGCAGTCACGTGTTCCCTCTTTGACAGCAGGAAAGAACTTGCATTATGCTCAATATTTACTTTTATTTTTTAGCGGTGGATTTAGGCAAGTTCTGTACTCAAAACTGCAGCACATGAAAAACATGCGTTTCAAAATTATCTCCTCATCTCTACAAGGAGACTTCTGAGACCCTCATTCCAACTTCTATCACACAACAGAGGAGCTCTAGCAGTACAAAGAGTCTCCTCTTGAAGTTCATAAAATGGGATCCGAGACACTTCATCTTTGAGTATTGATGAGCCTCAACGTTTAGATAAGATCAGTGTAGTTAAAGCGTACTCATGTAGGAACAGTGAAAGCTAACGGAATGGCTTATCTGTGGCTGCGGTGAGTGGACTTAACCTTTTGCTTGGTATGTCTGCTATGTGACCCCAGAGTCCAGCAGCGCAGCCATCAATAACTCCACTCTCTCTCCTAATACTTGCCACCTGGAAACTACTGACCTGGAACATGGCAGCTAAAGGCTGCAATATGTCTCTCTCGGCAAGGAGTTATACAAATCCAAACTGTTCAGTTTTCTTTTTTACAACTTGATTTATTTTTATTCTCTGTCTGCATCTATGTGTGAGGGTGCCAGGTCCTCTGAGAAAGCAGTCAGTACTCTGAACCACTGAGCCATCTCTCCAGCCCTCGTTTTCTGTCTTTTTAAAGGAGAATACACTGAAAGTTGGATAATGATACTCAAATGCTTTACTGAATTAACCTCCAACTTGGGAAGGCATGCTTTTTAACTTCTCATGCTTTTTCTCCAGACTCTTATATTATGAGGGTAATGTAGCCTCTTGTAATAGCTCAATACGGTCACCCTATTTCCTAAATCCTGACAGCTTCTGGACGTGGAAAGGAACCTTTTATGACTGTTTAAATAATCTAAAAATAGTTCCAGAAGGCAAAAGTTAAGACAAGGCTTCTTAACTGTCAAATGCCATAGACCCCCTTGGAAATCTGGTGAACATGAGGGTTCCTTCCGAGAACAATACTCGTGTGTGTGTGTGTGTGTGTGTGTGTGTGTGTGTGTGTGTAGGGTAGAACAACCTTAGATACCATTCTTCAGAAAGCATCTGCCTTGTTTGTTGAGACAGGGTGTCCCACTGGGACCTATGGCTGGCCACTTTGACTAGGCTTCCTGGCCAAAGCCTGTGGACCTGCAATCCTTTGCCTTCCCAGCACTGGGCTACAAGCCCAGCTCTTTACATGGATTCTGGGGATTGAACTTTATCATTTTATCAACTGGTAAAATTCCTAGACATCAGCATTGTATTTTAAAAAAGCACAAAGTTAAATGTCACAGTGGAAAAAAAGGGCACAAAGTTAACTGTTCATAAGGGAAACCAATTACATTGAAATGGAGTTACCAAAATACTGAGAATAAAATTCTGATAAAGATATGTATTCAGCAGAAAATTGCATAGCATATGGGTCCTGCTAAATAATATAATGGCTTAAAAAGCTGCCAGGCATCAAGCATTAATGCCAGCAGTGAGCGCTAACACGTCAGGACTGCACCCACTTGCTTCTTGCTAAGAAGTCACAGCGCCCTTAAACGTCACAGCGCTTTGCTAACTACACTTCTGTTTTGTTTTGGTTTTGGTTTTTGTTTTTTTTGAGATAGCTTTTCTCTGTGTAGCTCTGGCTGTCCTGGAACTTATTCTGGTTGGCTGCAATTCACAGAGATCCACCTGCCTCTGCCTCCCGAGCGCTGGGAATAAGGACGTGAGCCACCACTGACAGGCTATTGTCGACCTTTAAAGTCAGAGGACCTCAGTGAAAACAAACACATTCTTTTCCCATCCAAGCTCCTAAACTCCCGAAATTCAATCCCAGATGAAGTACAGACTCCCAAAGAAGTTTGTTTTTCCAGATTGTTAAACAGATCTCCCCTAGTGTACCTACTGCAGAAGGATCTCTGTCTGGAACGTAAAAAAATAAAAAAATCCAACTCTGTCCTTGTTTGCAAGCACAAACATCCTCTAAGGCTGCCCCACCCCCTCCACTCCCTCCTCCACCCACCCCACTCTTGTATCCTCTTCCCACATAACTGAGGGCCAGTGGGTGTGGCCTAGAAGCAGCTGCCTGGGGGCTGGTAGGTGACCCAGGACAGAGCTGGCTGCAGTAGCCCCCACACCCCCATCTCAGAGGCCTACTGAGAAAGGGGGCACAGTTTTGTTTTGAACCTGATTAGCTAGGGACTGGAGAGGGCTTTGGGCCAGTCTAGAGTCGAGCAAAGGTGAAGAGGGGAGCTGAAAGTAGATGGGAGGTCATGTTAGAAAAATAAGTGTGTTTATTCCAGGCTTGGGACGAACTCCGAAACCTCACCAATCTGACTTAAACCCTTATTGCAACCCACGGCCCTCCCTGCCGGCACTCAGCCTCCCTCACCTCAAACCCTTTAGGATGCTGCCTGCTTCATCTGGTCTATTTCCAGGGCTTGAAAGGGCCTTCTCGCAGGACCCTCCTCCTCTGCTGCCTTTCTTTGGACAGTCTAATGCTTATGTGCTCCTCCCGTTTCCAAACCCTAACCATGGGCTGCGCCACCCACTGTCTTGTTTTTCATTGTGTAAACTGGCCTAGCTAAGAAGGCAATAAGAAAAAGACTTGGATTTTTGAGGTTGCCAGTGTTCATGATTTTTTTTTTAATTTTAAAATAAAAATGTCCAAGCAGGATAACCGATAAAGTGCAAAATCATGAACTTGGTGAATTTCCCTCTTAGGAAAACCTAGCTTGAGCTGTCTGTGACGTGGACCTGAGTAGGTGATGCTGGCATCAAAACACTTAACTCTCCCGCCTCGGGGGCATGGATAACTTGCTGGTTCTGTCCTCTGTTCTCTGTCCACCAGTTTTGCAAAGGGATTATGAATTCTGAACCGCCTTTCCCAGTGTACTCAGGCAGGTGCTTAAGCTTTTCAGAACAATGCTGATGTGTTCCCGGGGGCCAGGCCTAGAGTCCGTGTCAGTATGAGCCCAGACAGCAAGGCAGCCTGTTTACAGCGAGCGAGCCTGACCTCCGGGACTCTGGGTGTCCAATTCCTTGCCGAGTGTGTGTAGAGGTCAGGATCTACAGTTTGTGTGTGCTACAGATTCCCCACAGGGCACGCGTGCAGCTCGCTTTGCTGGAGAAGAGTTTTGTGACGTACGTTTAGGAAAAATAAGACTTGTGTTCAGAACTATAGCTGAGCAACCCACACGTTCTCAGTGACACGTCCGTGTCTGTCGGACGGAATGTCTGTAGTTGCGCTTATGAGGGGAGAGTGAGAGAGGACACAGCTGCTCTATTTAAGAGGCTACACAAGGCCAGCGTTGCCTTCCTGGCAGCTGAGGACAGTGAAGGACGGAGTTTCCCTGCCCAGCTAATTCATTTAGGGCTTTAGCAGGTCTTTATAATGTTGACCTGGATATGGTGGGTGAACTGGGCTCAGTACCTCCATGAACTTGGTCGTGGCGTTGAGCATGCAGGTTCGATACTGCTCACCCCGGTATTCGAACGGTACCATGACGAAGCCGATGGCCTCTGGGATGGCCAGAATAAAGGACAGGACCCAGATGGAGACAATTTCAATGGCGGTAATCAAGGGGATCCCGATTCCTTGAACACGACTCCACGAGGCCACTGCTCTGTACCTGAATAGGAGGAGGGGAAGAGGAGGGGGAGGGGGAAGGGAGGGTGGTAAATCAAGTTAGTATAGTTTCAACTAATTTTGACTAGAAGGTGCCTCCCCTTGGCAGAACGCCATTGGCTTTCAGGGAATTTTCTTTGAGCCTTGATGTGAAATAAAACAAAACAAAGCAAAAGCAGTTTACCCATCATGGCGAGGCTGTCCGAAATCTCTTAAGAAAGAAGATTAAGGAGTGCTATAAAATAGTCATCCGGATATGATGTAGATGCGGTAACCATGAGCACGTAGCAGCTATGGGAGTCCTGCATGAGGTCTTCACAGGACTGGGCCCTTCGGCAGTCCATCATGATGGGGCTGGTGCCCACCCCCTTCCTGAGAAACTGTCATTGCCATTAATGGTAGTACTGGGAGGCAGTGTCTTTTTCTTCAGTAGTGTTCAAGTTGTTCATGTTCCAGTAAAATGACCATCCACCCATGCTCGTAAGTAACCTAGTTAAACTGAGGGGTGCGTGGGAGACAGGACTAGTCGGGAAGAAGGGGCTCAGAGAGAGGAGACAAGAGAGGGTAATGGGGCTGAATATAATCATAATACATTGCATATAAGTATGAAATTGTCAATAAAGCAGTAAGTAAGCAAATAATGGCAAAAGTGAAAAGAAAACCTTGGCATACTTAGAAAGAGATACCAGTCTGTGGGTGTGTCCGTGAGCTGTACGCTGAGGACCAGGAGGAGAGCAGGGTAGTTCTTTCTATAGCAATATGTACACACACACACACACACACACACACACACACACACACACACACACACGCGCGCACACACACACACACACAATGCATATTCCACACAGTTCCAAGCTATCCTGGAACTCACTTTGTAGACCAGGTTGGCCTTGAACTCACAGAGATCTGCCTGCCTCAGACTCCTGAGTGCTGGGCTTAAAGACATGGGCCACCGCTTTCGGCTTCTCTTTATTAACAAAACTTGAAAGATTATTAATGAAGTGTGTGATTCTTGAGTGAATCATCACCACACATATTCCATATTTCCTCCCTTCCTTTGTCTTCAGGATATTATTAGAGTGGGCTTTACCAGGCACCAGGCTCAACAAATACCGTTTTTGCAAGTGCTAAACTATTGTTAAGGATCTCACATTTTAGCTCTGTTCCAGGGAATATGAAACCCTTCATTCCTAACCTTCAGACTAACAACCTAAGAGAAGACAATAGTTCATAGTGATGATAGAGCATAAGGGTAAATGAATAAGAAATAAAATATAAATAACTCTGATATTAAGAAATCGTGTTTATTGGGGCTGGAGAGATGGCTCAGTGGTTAAGAGCACTGACTGCTCTTCTAGAGGACCTGGGTTCAATTCCCAGCACCCACATGGCAGCTCACAGCTATCTGTAACTCCAGTTGCAGGGGACCCAACACACTCATGCACATAAGATAAAAATAAATAATTAAAAAAGGAAATCATGCTTATTTTAGTTTTTATTTCAATATTATGGTGTTTGTATGAATTGAGACAGTGTCTCATGGAGTGTCTCATGTCCCAGGATGTAGAATTCACAACATTTCCTAGGATGACCTTGAACTCCTGACCCTCTTGCCTCTACTTCCCTAGTGCTGGGATTATAGACGTGTGCCACTTGCCTGGCTATTTAATTTTTTTTTTAATGATATCAACCGCCTTTAAATGTCTGGCTTGGAAAGTCCACGCTCTTTGACTTGATGATGGCCCGATGGTAACTGCTGTCAGACTTACTATGAAGAAAAGACCTAGGACATAGCATGATCTTTTTATTTTTATTTTTTTATGGCATGGTGTTTTTGTGGTCTTATTCTCGACATTTTCCCTCCTGCTGTAATGGAAAAATAAACATTTTATTTTTATAGCATTCATTGAATAGTGCAGGAGAAGGCTGTATAACAAACCAAAGCATCGGAGACAGATGCACTTGGGTTTGCAGGACCCGAGATTGACTGCTGAAGATTAATCAGTGAGTGAAGGCAGTGCACAAGCCCCCCAATTTCACCAAAATGAGATTTTCGCCAATTATATTTAGTTCACCATCTCAGTGTGTCTACACAGTATTTATCTGTGAAACCCAGCTCCCGAGAACAATAATGCCTAATCCTTTCTGAGATTTACTTAGAGATTAGAACCTATAAACTTCTGTAAGTTATGATGACACCACAGGACACATGTGGAGCCCACGTGGCTGGAGAAATGCTTTGCAGGGTATTTTCAGGGTGAGTAAGATTTATGTGCATAAGAATGTCTGGGAAAAGGCCAGGTCAGTTGAGAATGGGATAAAATGCAGCTATACGAAGAGGCACGAGAAACCTCTCATAGTTAGGCAGAAACTCATCCTAAAACTCACGGTTCTTTTTAGTACGATAAAGTTTGGTGCCTATTTTGATTTCCCATTCTATTTGACTCTCTTTGTGGCTTATTGATCTGGCAGCCTGATGTTCTGTAAAAGCTGGAGTGGAGACAGGATGTCTGTGTCCAGAGACTGCCAGCTGAGGTGATTTAAATAAAACACCCTTTCTCCCAAGAGCAGAAGAAGCTGGGTTTCTTAGCTGGCATCTCTGGAAGAAGATGGTAAGACAATGTGATGACTATGTTTACAAATCAGCATCATTGCATACTGTATCATGAGTAAATCTGACACACACACACACACACACACCCATAATCTGATATAGTTTTTTTTACATGCGTAGAAATAATTTTTAGCATCTAGTTCACTAAACAACTCATAACCTGTCTCGTCCTTTTTTGACTCATATCACAAAGAACTAGATTATTTTCCATTTGTTATCACATGAATCTTGATATCATCTTTGTGAGATTTAAAAAATGACTACAGAGCAAATAGAAACAACAGCTTGTGATGATGGACATGGGAGGCTGTGGAAAATAAGAAACCCTAAATGTTCCCATGTTAATTTTTTTTCTTGGAAGTTTATTATAGCACGTGTCTGTGTACACACACACACACACACACACACACACACACACACACACAGCCTTTTCTTACTCCTGAACAGCTTTTAGTTTAGTTGATTGTGTGTGTGAAAGGTGTTTTCAGGTGTAATATTCTGCCATCATCGTCACCACCGACGAGTTCAGTCCTCATCTCCTTAGCTGGGTCCAATACAGCCCCAAATCTTTAGCAGTGGATTTTGCTAGACCCCAGTCCTCGGAACACCTCCATCCTACGGAATTATCATCATTTAAACCAAATGTGTTGATAATGGACCAAATTTATAGCTCTAGCCTCGAACCCAACGCACACTGTGAATTTGAACAGGTAGTTACCAACTTGAGAGTTCTACTGGGCATCTTGTGAGCACCCATATATGTTCCCAAACCTTGCTTCTCTCCTCTTCCAGCACACACTCAGTCTTTTCACATCTGCCTTCAAAGGTGCCCACTTCTAGCATGGTGCAACACACTTTAATCCCAGCACTCAGGAGGCAGAGGTAGGGGGATCACTGAGAGTCCGAGGTCAGCCTGGCCTACATATCAAGTTCCAGGACAGCCAGGGTTACACAGAGAGACTTTGTCTCAAAAAAACAAACAACAAACAAATAAAAACCAAAAAACCCCAAAAAAACCAATGCCCCCAAACCAAACTAAAATAAAAACTCACAAAAAGGAGTGCTCACTCTCGCCTCTCACCCACCACCATGCCGCCTACATTGTTTTGATAGTTTCCTAACTGGCATCTGGACCCATTCTGCCCTGCCACAGCCTTTTTTGGACAGCAATGGAGACGAACTTACTAAGTAGGGCACAGTTTGTTCCCACCTGCCTCGACTGCTCTCCTTTCAGGGACACCCATGAGGCACCCACACATCTGCTTGCTCTCTTCCTTTAGGTTTCTACTCAGTAGTAGCTTTTGTTTGCTTGTTTTTGAGACAGGGTTTCTCTCTGTAACAGTCCTGGTTATCCTGGAACCAGCTCTTGTGGACCAGGCTGACCTAGAAGTCACAGAGATCGGCCTGCCTCTGCCTCCCGAGTGCTGGGATTAAAGTTGTGCGCCACCACTGCCGGACATTCAGTTGTATCTTAAAAACATTTTTAAAAATTTAGATTTAGGTTTCACTGTGCATCCAAGACTAAACTGAAACAAACTATTTAGCCACAGGTGGGCTTGGATTTGTGGTTCCCTACATTACTATCCCTGGTGCTGGGATCAGATCTGTTGAGCTGGGGCTCACCTGACATTTTATGAAACCCCTACCTCAAACTTCGGAGCCCTCTTCCTGTTCCATTTACATTTGTCTTACCACTATGGGACAAACCAAAAGTTCTTTCTTTACGTATTTGTTGATTGTCTGAGCCAGCCCTCCATCTAGACAACCATTGCCATACAGGGCACTTAGTGTTTCCCGTATGAAGCGACAGGTACCGGACAGATACCTGCTGCGTCAAGTGACTTCTCCCATCCTTGCTGTGTCCTTCCCCCGTACCACGCGCTGTTTTACTTTGTTGGACAAAGCACTTTATGTTACGAACACTTTGATGCTTCTCAGGCTAGTGCTGGATTAGGTAACACACACAAAAGCTAATCCTTTCTCCTTTTCTTTTAAAGCATAGAATCAAATAATTTTAAAACAAGGATGGACCTCTGGGCTGTCAATTTTGCCTTTGTATTCAAGATGGGGCCCCTAAGAACTGGAAAGGCAAAGGGTGGGTGTGGCCACACCCAAGCCAGTCTCCAGGGAATGGGGAGCCTGGGACAGGATGTGTGTCTGCTGACGCCCTGACATGTGGCATGTCACAACTTAAAGGGTAGACCATCTTTTACGTAGGTGAAATTGTTTGTCATAGTTAGCGTGTGCCTATACGTCAATTTAAAAATGTTTAAAAGGCCAGAAGCAGCTCTTTCTTATTATTTTTTTTAAGATAGGGTCTCTCAGTGTAGCCCTGACAGTTCTGGAACTCTCTGTGTAGAACGCTGGCCTCGAACTCTCTATGTAGA